GCCACGATTCTCCTGCCTCACCCTCTGGAGTAGCTGGGATTACAGGTACCTGCCACCACACTCGGCTAAGTTTTTTGTATTTTTAGTAGAGACAGAGTTTCACCATGACCAGGCTGGTCCTGAACTCCTGACCTCAAGTGATCTGCCCACCTTGGCTTCCCAAAATGCTGGGATTACAGGCATGAGCCACCATGGCTGGTCTTTGGCCCACAGTTTCTTAAGACAGTGAAGTTTGGCACATTGATTGATTCCTCCTTTCACAAAAGAATTCTCTGTAGCATGCAATGCTATTTGATAGCATTTTACCCACAGTAGAACTTCTTTTAAAGTTGTAGTCAATTCTCTTAAACCCTGCCTCTGCATTATCAACTAAGTTTATGGAATATTCTAAATCCTTTGTTATCATTTCAACAATGTTCACAGCATCTTCACCAGGCATGGATTCCATCTCAAAAAACGACTTTCTTTGCTTATCCATAAAAAGCAACTCCTCATCTCTTCAAGTTTTATCATGAGATTGTAGCAATTCAGCCCTGTCTTCAGACTCCACTTCCAATTCTAGTTTTCTGTTTCTACCACATCTACAGTTCTGTCCTCCACTGAAGTCTTGAACTCCTCAAAGTCATCCACGAGGGGTGGAGTCAGCTTCTTTAAAATGCCTGTTAATCTTGATATTTTGACCACCTCCCATGAATCACAAATATTTTTAAAGTAATCTAGAATGGCAAATCCTTTCCAGAAGGCTTTCAATTTATTTTGCCCAAATCCATCAGAGGAATTCCTGTCTATAACTATAGCCTTAAAATGTATTTCTTAAATAATAAGAGTTAAAAGTTAAAATCCCTCCTTGATCCATGGGCTGCAGCATCAATGCTGTGTTAGCAGGCCTGGAAACAACATTCACCTCCTTGTGCTTCTCCACCAGAACACTTGGGTGATCAGGTGCATTGTCAATGAGTGTAATATTTTGAAAGGAATCTTCTTTTCTGAGCAGTAGGTCTCAACAGCAGGCCTAAAATACTCAGGAAACCGTGCTGTACACGGATGTGTTGTCATCCAGGCTTTGTTGTTCCTTTTCTAGAGCACAGACAAAGTAAATTTAGCATAATTCTTAAACGCCCTAGGATCTTCAGAATGGTCAATGAGCAATGAGTATTGGCCCTGCGGTTGTGCATACCTTTAGTCCCAGTACTTTCAGAGGCCAAGGTGGGTGGATTGCTTAAACCTAGGAGTTCCAGACCAGCCTGGGGAACATGGCAAAACCCCATCTCTACAAAAAATACAAAAATTTGCCAGGTGTGGTGGTGGGCACCAGCTACTTGGGAGGCTGAGGCAGGAGGATTGCATGAGCCCAGGAGGTCGAGACTGCAGTGAGCCATGATTGCACCACTGTACTCCAGCCTGGGTGACTGAGTGAGACCTTGTCAAATAAATAAATAAATAAATAAATAAGACACCAGTTGCATTGGCCTCTAAAAAGAGTCCACCTGTCCTTGAGGCTGGGCATTGACATCTCCTGTCTAGCTATGGAAGTCCTAGAGGGTATCTTACTCCAATAGAATGCTGTTTTATCTATATGAAAATTGGTTGTTGAGTATAGCCACCTTCATCAATTCTCTTAGCTAGATGTTCTGGGTAAGTTGTTGCAGCTTTCTCTGTCTCTCTTTCTCTGTCTCTCTCTCTTTTTTCCATTCATCTTTGATGTTACTATGTTGCAGCTTCTTTATCAGCACTTGCTGCCTCACCTTGCACTTTTATATTCTAGAGACAGCTTGTTTCTTAAACCTCATGAGCCAGCCCCAGCTAACTTCAGACTTTTCCTCTGCAACTTCCTCACCTCTCTCAGCCTTTGTAGAATTGAAGAGAGTTAGAACCTTGCTCTGGATTTAGGCTTTGGGTTAAATGTTGTGACTGGTTTGATCTTCTATCCAGAATATTAAGACTTTCTCCATATGAGCAATAAGGCTGTTTCACTTTCTTATCATTTGTGTAATCACTGGAGTAGCACTTATTTTTATTTTTAAGCATCAGAGTCACCACGCTGGATGGAGTAGCGTGCTAAGTTCCTTTAAGCACTTTTCCTTTGGCCGGGCGCGGTGGCTCAAGCCTGTAATCCCAGCACTTTGGGAGGCCGAGGCGGGTGGATCACGAGGTCAAGAGATCGAGACCATCCTGGTCATCATGGTGAAACCTCGTCTCTACTAAAACTACAAAAAATTAGCTGGGCATGGTGGCGTGTGCCTGTAATCCCAGCTACTCAGGAGGCTGAGGCAGGAGAATTGCCGAACCCAGGAAGCGGAGGTTGT